TCTTACCCCCTCAATATAACCTACCCACCTCATCACGGTTCCGACCGAACAAAACATACTTCTCATGTATATGCGACATATTTATATATTGCCCCCAGCCAATTGGTGGAGATCTTATAACACATTAATCTATACTGTTATATCTGTATGAACCGTATTGAAATACATTGTTTTGACAAAATCTTTTCAATGAAAACTATTGAACATTAAAAAAATATATATATATATATATAAATCTACATTATATATATTGAAATATATTTTTAAATATATTGAATATGAACAAAATTGTAGCATTTCAAATATATGTCAATATATTTGGGAAGAATATTTTAAAAATATATTTCAAAAATATTTTTCTTCCATATAGGTACCTTGTGGAATTGTAATAGATTGGTATATTTTTGGAAGTGAGTTACTCCTCAGGCTCCCTAACCCTTCAGGTGTTATTGCTTATAACATTTGGTTCTAATTATTATTAACATAGCTTTAAAATAAACCTGTCAAGAGAAAAAGGCTGAGGACCTCCTGTGCTGACTGTCTGAAAATATTAGTCTATTAGTCCTGGCTATTATGTTGACCCTCTGACTTCTATAGTTTATGAGCCATTGACACAGAATAAGTATCAACCAAGTCAAAATAAATTTAGAAGCCGTAATCTATATACTTGTTCCAGGTCAATGAATCAAGTGGGTAAGCATCATAGCCCAACAAGCAGTAGTTTCAAAAGAGAGAGGTCCAAAGTGGAAGCCTTCATGTTTCTCTCATGACATATTTCCTTTAAGCAAAAATAAATAAAAACAAATAGTTTGAAAAAAGGATCACAGGAAAAGATGTAAAATTAAGTTAAAATGTTACATCAAAATGTGACACCTCTATTAAATGAAAACACACATGAAAAATTATAAAGTGAAATGGGAAGTTATCTCAATTATAAAGCCCAAAGGAATATGAGGATCTAATGACCTCTCCCCCACCCCCTTACATTTCAGAGAGTCCTGTGCCTTGATTCCTAATACTACTGTGACCCTCCACAAATCATGTTGCCTTACTTCTCATTGCTTAATTAATCTTTTACAAAACCAAAGCAGCATTTTACTATATGTAGATGCTTATAGTGCTATGGACTGTCACGGTTAGATGGTGTCACAGAAAATCAGGAGATAGAACCCAACTGGTAGCTTCAATTAAATGCATGTTGTTTGAGAATCTGAGTCCAGAAGGATGTTGTATCAACAAATAGGAACATACATAAGCAATAAACTTCAACCCCCCCCCTTCCCGCCACAACACATTTACTGCAGCAGGATAGCAGATGCAGGCCCAGTCACATATATGTACATGATCTAGCCTTCTCTGGGTTAGCAGCATGTAATGTCCCAGCAGATTACTGTTACATGTACCGGAACAGTGATTGCCATTATTGGTCATAGCAATCACATAAAAATAATGCGAGCAGGGCCGTGGATAAGGGGGTACCACCTGTACAGGGCTCAGGCCAACAGGGTGGCCCAGGCAGCTGGGTGAATCGGATGTGGGCAGGGAGGGTGATCAGCATGGTGGGGGTGAAATTACTGGAACCGATCCCCTGTATCACCCTCTCTGTGCACCATACGTTTCCCCATGCTGCTCAGGCCCCCTATGTGCCCCCATCCCCCCGCAGTGCTGCCAGCTATCCTCCCCTCCTACCTGCTAGCAGCTGCAAACACACAATAGGATCCTTCAGGATGGAGAGTGGTTGAAGTGTCCTGTAAATATTTCACATTTTACAAGCTCCTTTCTTTCCCAGATGAACACAATGAGTGATTGGTACCGATCACTCATTGTGTTCATTCATAAGTGATGCATAGTAAACTGTGTTTTTTATGAGGGGGCCCTGTCAGGTTGGCTGTATGGGGCCCCATGGTTCTAACAGCAGCCCTGAATGTATGTAACCTAGGAATGGCGTTCCATTCATGAACAGCTTGCTGACTGTTGATATCTGTGATCGGCCCAAAGCAAGATCATGGTACCTGGTTACCTGTACCATGTGATTAGCTGTAGCCAATCACAGATCGCAACCATAAGCAAGCTGTTCATGACAGCTACAACTATTGTGTATACAGTGATCATCACTATAAAAGCAATAACAGTGTAAAAAAGCCCTCATCACCCCCATGGAGTAGTACAGTATCACTATTGTGACTCTAGTGTGAACTATTCTGATGATAGAATGTAAAAAAAAAAAGAGAAAAACTTAAAAAAATTGAATACATTTTTTGCATACTGCATCAGTCAGTATCCCTGATTACCACCACACCGCTCATATGATGACACTATACTGCACTGGCAACAGTTTGTAAAAAAATTGTGAAAAAAACACATTTTATTTAATTCCTTCTTTTTCCAAAAAAAGTGACAAAAAAATTACAACTTCAAAAACCTTGACATGCGTATTACTATATACCTCAGACTGTCTACTCGGTATATTTAGGATTGATAAATGTTCAAATATACCGTATACACTATAGTTTGTAGGTTCTATAACTTTCACACAAACCAATTAATATACACTTATTAGGATTTATTTTTTAACAGTGTAGCAGAATGCATTTTGGCCTAAATATATGAATACATTAGATTTTTTTTATTTTTGTAACATTTCTGTCAAGTTTTATAACAGAAAGTCAGAAATATTGTTGGATTTTTTTTCAAACATGTTGGTCTTTTTTCATTTATATAATAAAAAAAAAAAAAAATCCGAGTGGTGATTAAATACCACCAAAAGAAAGTGATACTGGTAAGGAAAAAAAATTACATAAAGTTAATTTGCATACACTGTTGCATGATCATGCAATTTCCAGTTAAAGTAGCACAATACTAAATAGCAAAAAAAATGCAATGGTCGTGAAAGAGGTAAAACCTTCCGGAGGGAGGTGGTTAAAGCAACTGCATCACTATGTAAAAAAAATGGGCAACCTGCAGAGTTAATATCTTGTACTGCCCCCTTTGGCAAGTATCACAGCTTGTAAACGCTTTTTGTAGCCAGCCAAGAGTCTTTCAATTCTTGTTTGAGGTATCTTTGCCCATTCTTCCTTACAAAAAAGTCTTCCAGTTCTTTGAGATTTCAGGGCTGTCTGTCACGCACTGCTCTTTTAAGGTCTATCCATAGATTTTCAATTATGTCGAGGTCAGGAGATTGTGAAGGCCATGGCAAAACCTTCAGTTTACGCCTCTTGATGTAATCCCCCGTGGATTTCGAGGTGTGTTTAGGATCATTATCCATTTGTAGAAGCCATCCTCTCTTTAACTTCAGCTTTTTCACAGATGGCATCAAGTTACCATCCAAAATTTGCTGAAGTTTTATTGAATCCATTTTTCCTTCTACTCGTGAGATGTTTCCTGTGCCACTGGCTGCAACACAACCCCAAAGCATGATTGATCCAACCCCATGCTTAACAGTTGGACAGAGGTTCTTTTCAATAAATTCTGTGCCCCTTCTTCTCCAAACGTACCTTTGCTCATTCCGGACAAAAAGTTCAATTTTAACCTCATCGGTCCACAGAACTTGTTTCCAAAATGCATCAGGCTTGTCTATATGTTCATTTGCAAAGTTCAAACGATGATTTTTGTGGTGAGGACGTAGAAGAGGTTTTCTTCTGATGACTCTTCCATGAAGACCATATTTGTACAAGTATCTCTTTATAGTAGAATAGTGTACCACAACTCCAGTGTCTGCCAGATCTTTCTGGAGGGATCGTGCAGTCAAACGTGGGTTTTGAATTGTTTTTCTCACAATCCTGCAAGCTGTTCTGTCTGATATTTTTCTTGGTCTTCCAGATCTTGCTTTAACTTCCACTGTTCCTGATGACTGCCATTTCTTAATTACATTCCGAAAGGAGGATATTGACATCTGAAAACACTTTGCTATCTTCTTATAGCCTTCTCCAGCTTCGTGAGCGTCAACTATTTTCAGTTTCAGTTTTCTAGACAACTGCTTAGAAGAACCCATGGTGCTGATTGTTGGGGCAAGGTCAGATGAGTCTGGGCATTTAAAACCTTTGAGATTGACATCACCTGGTCTTCCCAGACGATGATTGAGAACAATCCATGACACTGGCAGGTCTCAGCTTTGCAAAGGGGGCAGTGCATGCTATAAATTCTGCAGGGTGCCCAAACTTTTGCAGACGCCATTTTTTTGTTTTCTGTTATTTTGAAAGTGTAAATGATGGAAATAAAATCTAACTTTTGTTGACATATTATAAGAATGTCTAATCTGTAATTTGATGCCTTTTGGAGATTTTTCCATCTTTCCTTGGCTTCTTTATGCACATTAATACAAATTTTTAGCTGGGGTGCCCAAACTTTCGATCCCTACTGTATGTTTGTTCGAAGCATATTTAATGTCACTAACTGTTGCCTCTGCTGGGAGTCTGCCCCAAACATCAACTATGCTTTTGAAAAAATAATACTACCTGAAATTAGTTTTCAATTTTCTTCCTGCTAGTTTGAGATCACAGCCCCTTGTCCCTGTTCTTAGCTTCATATCTAAAAACATTTTTGTAACATTCCTGTTAAGTTTTATAACAGAAAGTAGGAATATTGTTTTTTGGTCTTTTTTCATTTATATAATAAACAAAATAAAAATCCCAGTGTTGTTGCAAATATTGCTGAAAAAAATGCCTCTGACATTTCTACTAGTGTTGAATGCTTGCAACCCTCTGCTGAGCTATATGGTTCTTTCCTTCAGCCCCTACATCACTACAGAACACAGAGATCTTCTGAAAGACCTCAAGAGCACAGTGGGGGGGACCAGAAATACGGCTGGACCAGACATCCAATCATACATGCATGTTTTTATTTTTATAGTTTTTCTCCTAAGGTCAACAGAATTTAGTGGAGAGACACAGGTAAATATTGATGCTTTTCTTGGCAGGTTTGGGTCCCTCAATTTTATTTTATATAGCAACAGAATACTTTTAATGTTTATATTATTGGCTATTTTGTTAGAATGATGTTACCTGTTTAAGCTGAGTCTCAGAATTGACATGGACATCACAAATTTCACAGTGAAATGTTTTGTTTTGCAGGCCTGTGTTCCCTTTGCTGATAAACAATCTTCCTTTTACACCAGCTCGTGGAAATGCTTTAATAGTACCACTTCCGTTTCGAGCTTCCACCATGGTTTTGTGCTTTGTACCTGTAAATATGGGAAAATATAACAAAATTCAATATAACATTCTTCTAAATTACTGTACTTTAAAAAAAAATCTAGAGATATACTGAATGACATTCACTATATAAACGTACATTAACAGGGCTAAGTGCTAGCCCACATTAAATAGGAAAATGAATTGTGCATAGTGCTAGGATATGGTATAAATACAAATTGCATTACAAATAATGGTAGTAAAGTTAATCAATTTTAGCTAATTTTATTCTATTCTCTTTTAAAGTGGGAGTAAACTCCCTTGGTTGAATTTTACCTATAGGTAAGCCTATGATAAGGCTTACCTACTGTATAGGTATGCAAAATATCTCCTAAACACACAGTTTAAGAAATATTTACTCTGGCAGCAGCCAGTGACATTAGCAGTGCATGTGCCGAAGGAACGGCATACTCATGCCATTCCTTCAGGGTCCTGTTCCACAAAAAGTGACTTCTGCACACGTGGGAGGGAGTGAGGTCATTGTGTCTTGGCCATTCATACCACCAGAGCTTACGAACCCCGAAGAAACATGGAAGCACCTACAGCAGTGACAGCGCGCCACTGGAGGAATTTGTTTTCAGTTAAGTCTGTCATAATGTGTTAGTATGCGATGCATACTAGCACATTATGACTTGAACTGCCCAGGGCCCAATTTTTTATTTTTTGCTGCAGTTAACTACTGCTTTAATGCCCCTTTCTTTTTTTCTTTCTTTTTTGTTTAAAGTTTCATTTTGTACTAAAATAACAGCAGCTAACATATTTTTGCATTTTGGCAAGACTGGGATACACTGAGTAGGACATGATTATCCATTGCCGTGTGTGTTTTTTTGTCTCCAATAAGGTAGATACCCCAACTAATAAATCACAGTGAGAATAAACTAATGGTTAAACATTTGAAATAATTAAGAACTCAAGCTTTAAAGGATAAATTCACCTTTTGTAACATGTTACACCTGTATTCAGGCTGTAACAAGTAACATGTCACTGACTCAGCAGCCCACAAACCACCCAATCCCCCGTTTTCACAGCAGTCAGGGCATCTTCTCCCACACTCGCTGCCACAATTTAAAAAAAAAAAAGGGGCCATAAAGGCTCCGCCCACCCAACCACATCATTCATTCACAGAGTTCTGTGAATGGGAGAACTACAGGTACCAACAGCTGTCGGCTTGTAGTTCTCAATGAACTACCAGGGTGCTGTTGAATGCTCTAGGTAGTTCATTGATGCTGCCTGTCCATATTTAACTGCCTGCTCATATGAGTTAAAAGCAGACAGCTTACACTGACAGTCTGCAAGAGCCCTCCATTGCACCTGTGATCTGCTGATTGTGGGTGCAATGCTTTTGCTTTGAAAGCTCCTAAAAAATAATAAACATACATTTTTTTACCTGCAAAAACAGATGTGCATGGATATATATATATATATATATATATATATATATAAATATTTTTTTTTAATCATTATTTATTTATTTTTACAATAGTGAACTTATTCTTTAAATAAGTCTATTAAGTGCATTAAAAAAAAAAAAGAAGCAAATCTGGATATTTAACAGTACTATCTATATATACCTGCCAGACTAGGAAAACAGTGAATATTTGTTTGACATAAATTATTCCTAAGTAAGATTTGTGTTTAAACTGTGGACTATGCCCACATATTTTTGGACACTCTTTTAGTTTTATTTTTTTTAAGGTTAACTATAGCTTTATGAAAAAAAAAAACACACAGCTCAGGACAAAGCTTTGAACTGGCTTGGGTTCATAAAATAAGAGACCTATACTTTGTGCTGTCTATGTTGCTCTTAGCAGGTTAAGATACTACTCTAGCTGGATCACAGAATGATGGGCAAGCTGCATTGTGCACAGCATAAGCCCACAGGCAACACAGGTTATAACAGCAGTGATGCTATCAGCAAACCGAAACTGTACTGTTCCTGTGATTTGAAAAATTTATATATATATATATTTATACACAGTATATATAAACCTAGGGTAACCTATAAAGTAAAACCTTACCTTTTGAGTAATTACATTTTATGATAACATTGATTAGAACATTTTTTTAATCACAGTAGGTTATTATAACCTATTGTTATAATAACCTGATTCACACTGATATAAAGGAAACAAATGCAAAGGTAAATTCTAGCATATCTTTAACCTCTTCCCGACCACCCTATAGCAGCAGTACTGCTACAAGGCTAGAAAGGACATGTAGCAAAATACATTTTGACCTAAATTATGATGACATTTGATTTGTTAAATGTTTTTACTGGATATGTTTTATAGCAAGAAGTAAAAAATATTGATTTTTTTTTTTCAAAATTGTCCGTTTTTATGTTTATAGTGCAAAAAATTAAAAATGCACAGGTGATCAAATACCACCAAAATAAAGCTCCTTTTGTGGGAAAAAAAGGACATAAATTTATTTTGGGTGCAGCATTGCATGACTGCGCAATTGTCAGTTAAAGTAACGCAGCACCATATCACAAAAAATGGCCTGGTCAGGAAGGGGGGTAAATCTTCTGGAGGGCAAGTGATTAAAACATTACACCAAGCTTTTAGGAAACATATAGGTTAGGGAGCATATTATAGTTCCTAAATTCTGCTGTGCAGCAACTGCCCAAATGAAAGTGTGAAATCATCACAGCTTACTAATTACTCAATAGAAACTGAAAAAATAGGGAATCATGTACAATATATCTCAAATGAGTCTTATGCACGAGGATGGTTGGTAATGTACAGTGGGGAAAATAATTATTTGATCCCCTGCAGACCATATAAGTTTGCCCACTTACAAAGAAATGAAGGGTCTATCATTTTTTCATAGGTGTATTTTAAATGATAGAGACAGAATATCAACCAAAAATCCAGAAAAAAAACACATGATACAAATGTTATCAATTGAGTTGCAGTTCAGTGAATAAAATAAATATTTTATCCCAAGCAAAAAATTACTTAGTACTTGGTGGAGAAACCCTTGTTGGGAAGCACAGAGGTAAGACATTTCTTGTAGTTTGTTATCAGGTTTGCACACATCTCAGGAGGGATTTTGGTACACTACTCTTTACAGATCTTCTCTAAATCCTTAAGTACCTGAAATCCTTATTTATTTCAGGTACTTTTATAGTGCTGTCAATTTACACAGCGCTTTACATATATATTGCACATTCACATCAGTCCTTAACCCTCAAGGGGCGTACAATCTAAGGTAGTTCCAGCTCCCTCCATACATTTTCTATAGGATTAAGGTCTGGAGACTAGCTAGGCCACTCCATGACCTTAATGTGCTTCTTCTTGAGCCACTCCTTTGTTGCCTTCCTGGTATGTTTTGTGTCATTGTCATGCAGGAAGACCCATCTACAACCCATCTTCAGTGTACTGGCTGAGGGAAGAAGGTTCTCATCCAAGATTTTACAATACATGTCCCCGTCCATGGGCCCCTCAATGCGGCAAAGTCTGCCTGTACCTTTGGCAGGGAACAACCCCAAAGCATAATGTTTCCACCTCTGTGCTTGACTGTAGGGATGATGCTCTTAGGGTCATAGTCAGCATTTTTCTTCCTCCAAACACGCCGAGTCGAGTTAATGCCAAGGAGCTCAATTTTTGTCTCATCTGACCACAGCACATTCTCCCAATCCTGCTCTGAATCATTTAGATGTTCATTGGCAAAGATGGGCCTGTACATGTGCCTTTTTGAGGAGGGGGACCTTGCGGGCACTGCAGGAATTCAATCCATGGAGACGTATTATGTTACTAATTGTTTGTTTGGGAATGTTTTATCTGCCTTGAGATCATTCACAAGCTCCTCCCGTGTAGTTCTGGGCTGATCACTCACTTTTCTCATGATCATCCTTACCCCATGAGGTGAAATATTGCATAGAGCTCCAGACCGAGGGCGAAAGATGGTTATTTTATGTTTCTTGCATTTGCAAATAAACACTTCAACAGTTGTCTTCTTCTCACCAAGATTCTTGCTGATAGTCTTGTTGCCCTTTCCAGCATTGTGCAGGTCTACAATCTTGTCCCTGATGTCCTTTGACAGCTCTTTGGTTTCTTGCCCATGATGGTGAGGTTTGAATGGAAGAAAGAGATTTTGTGGACAGGTGTCTTTTATACAGATAATGAGTTGTCATTAGGAGCACCTTCTTAAATTGACAGGACTAATCTGTGTACAACATGAGTACATAGCCAGTCTGTGGGAGCCAGAATAATTGTCGGTTGGTAGGGGATCAAATGCTTATTTTACTCACTGAACTGCAACTCAATTTATAACATTTGTATGTGTTTTTCTGGATTTTGGTTGATATTCTATCTCTATCATTTAAAATACACCCATAATAAAAAATTGTAAACCCTTCATTTCTTTGCAAGTGGGTAAACTTACAAAATCTGCAGGGATCAAATAATTATTTTCCTCACTGTATGTGTTGTCTGCAGTAATAACATTTTCTTCCTCTCAGTGGGATTGACAACTAAAAGCTGATTGGTGAGGATTTGATTTGGGTTCAGAAACAAATTTCAAAGACGAATAGGTCCATTTACAAATGCATCCGAAAATGAATTCCTCAATTATTTATATGTTATTATTATACAGGATTTATATAGCGCCAACGGTTTGCTCAGCACTTTACATTATAGTGGGAGACAATACAGTAACAATACAGTTCAATAGAAGAGGGAATTGAGAGCCCTGCTCCTTGGAGCTTACAATCTAGGAGGGAGGGGTGAGTGGTACAATAGGTAAAACTGTGGGGGATGGAGTGGTTGGAAGCGTAGAGGATTCCAGTATTAGCAGAGGGTGGGATAGGCTTCCCTGAAGAGATAGGTTTTCCATAATCGCCTAAAGGTAAGTAGAGTAGGTGATAGTCTAATAGATTGTGGTAGGGGGTTCCAGAGGATGGGTGACGCCCTGGAGAAGTCTTGGAGACAAGCATGGGAGGAGGAGATAAGGGAGCTAGAGAGCAGGAGGTCATTCGAGGAGTGGA